TGGAATAATAGCAAATCCAAAGGTGTTCCAGGTTACTTTCGAGATTTGAAACAAGGATTTTGAGTGTGAACACTGGTCACATGAATCGGAAAACAAGTCAGCAGCGATGACGAGGTATTCGAAGCGGGCGAAGGACGATCAGAAGAGTGGCTTATCTACAGTGGCGTCACATTGATATGACCAAAAGACATGCACGAATGGGAAAATCTTAGGACAAGCATCGACATTATAATTGGTGACAACAAAATGTGACGTGTCGAAGGATTTGAAACAGTGACTTACCAGCTTGGGTGGAAAGGGGGCTCATATGATTGACGGTTTATATATCCCAAAACACAGCAGAAGATTTTTATATGTTGACAAGCTTGCTCCGCATCGGTGTGGAGCTTCTGTAGTCATTGCGCGTCACCGGCACAATAATTTGAAAAGCGTCCATGCTTGACTGTGACCAGAAAGAAGCTTTTCATGTGAAATATTTCTGGGTGGACACTTGGTGGGACGTTTGGCATGCTAGCAAGGAAAACAGACAAGGACGCCATACTCACGACACAGAGCTCAGCCAAAGGCATGCCAATTATCAAATGAGAAGCTCAAACGTCTGTGCCCGGTGTTAGAAGGTCCAGTATACAGTCGCGGCATTTCTCTAACGCTTGATCAAAAAGGCGACTCGGGTGCCAAAGTGCATATCATAGGTTCAATGCGGACTCCTCGATGGAAGGTGCAAGATATTTGTCAATTTTGTGGGTAAATCTACAAGGTGTGTTGCGATGTTTCTGATCATGAGAAAAAGTGAGGTAGCTTGCTAGTCCAAGAAATTCATGACTCTTTACAAAACAACAATGAATTTTCGCCCGAACTATCTGAGATTCGACAACAACACAGATTTCCTGGACAGGACATAGGTAGACATATACCGTCGGAGCATGATTGTCCATTAGCATTCAACTTCATACAGCCATAACCAGAAAGGAATGACAGAGTAATTGAACAGGACTATCACAAGGAAGACCCGCAGTATGCTTGACTTCAAATACATCTTACCTAATTCGTGACTGACGTGGTGATTCCAGCAGTTTATTTAAATGTTCGCTCGACAACTACATCCTAATTTGACATCGCGCCGTATGAGATAGCTTCCTTGCGCGTGTATGGGTCACCAGGTTCAATCCTTTAGGAAGATAAAAAAACAAAGTTCGATCCCCAAAAGCTTCGAGTGTATGTTCTCATTTATGCCGAAAATGTCATGCGTAATTGCTTGTTTGACGTGGATAATGCTAAGGTCAATGTGATCCGCTCTGTGAGGCTGGATGAGCGTAACGCTTACGGCAATTTATCGCGCAAGCCCTAGAGCCAGTCGTGACCATAGATGTTCCTAAGGACAGTGATGATGGCAATATTTAGAACCAATCTGATCAACAGACGGACGAATCTATCGAAATACAAGCTCGAAACGTCGCAATGGGTAATGTTTAAAGTAAACCGACGGTTAGCTTACAGCAGCTGGTACCTTCTGCACGTTCTATTGGAAAAAGTTGATGCTAGTAGCGTATCATCCATCTCTCGATACGCGGCAAGAAGATCATTTGGTGATTCGTCCTGAGAGAAAACAAGACGATGCCATACGTTGATGCTGATGCTTAGGAGTAGCTCAGATGACGAAGAGTCCGAAGATAGAAGTTGTATCCCATTGGTACCACGGCGTGCCAAAACTGGCGAACTCATTACCGATGTAATCTTGCGCACTTGTGAAGTGAGGATAATACGGACTTGCCGACTATGTATGCTCTAACAATGTCAATCGACGATACAGTAAAGTAGCGTTAAGCTGTGGAAGCTGAGCTTCGATCACATTAGAAGAACCAAACATTAACATCAAAACCAACAAAAAGGTCTGATCTCACAATTGGATCAGATGGATCTTCGCCAATAAAAGGGATCGAGTTCTCACCATTGTGCGGTCAAGGCACGACTTGTCGTCAAGTAATTTCGAGTAAAATTATGATATTAACTTTTTCAAGGTCCCCAACATGGGCTCGATCCGAAGGATACTTGCGGTATCTGTCAATTGCGTCAATCAAACGGATCGTTTAAAATTGATACTGCTCTTATTAACAGTGTGCTGACAAACAACATTCGTATCAAAGTCCCGCAGGGTTTCGACACGGCTAAGGAATACGTGCTCCGGCTAAAAACAAGGTTATCTACGGGTTGAATCAACAGCGATTACCTGGAACATGCAATACTTCGTGGCCTTATGACTAATGGCTTTGATTGATCAGAGAGTATATATCAAGCGATCTATAACGATTTTTGCCACGTTGGGCTATATCTAGATGACAAGAGTTTTGCACCAAAGAAAACAGGGAGATTATCAGGTCAAGGAAGCTTCCAAAATTCATACAAGATGGAAAAGCCGGACGAGGTGATGTTTGTAATCGGCATGTGAATTGACCGCGACAGGTCAGAGAAAAACTCAAGATCAAGCAGACTCGTTAAATTGATGACATTATCCGGCGATTCGGCTCTCAAGATACCACGAATGTCGACTCGACAACCCGAATACTTCAGAATTGAAGTTGTCGTCGACACGGCCGTCTACGATGATAGAGGGTCATTTGGCGATACGCTCGAAGCGCTGTGCATAACGATGTGTACTTGATCACAGGATAACATTGCTGTAACATTTCCTTCAGGACCCTGGACTGCAACATTGAAATGCAGCTATTCGCGTGCTACGCTACATTAAGAGTATACGCCTAATCGGTATCGTCTATTAAGGCAGTGGTTGAACAATACTCAGATAACAATTAAAGAAGCACAACCATGACGGACGCTCGGTTTTTGAAAAATATGATCATGATTGCAGGCGCGTCAGAGGTGTTCAAGTCAACGTACTTGCGATCCCTTTTGCTCATCTCGCGGAGGCTGAGTCTTTGGCTTTTGGTCTTCTCGCCACGATGTTCTTTGGACGCATGCGATGCTTATGGACATAGGTCACGAGCAAGTGGAAGACACACTAGTTCAAGGAGACAACAAATGAGGAATCGCATTCGCCAACAACGCCAGTTACCATGCTTGGACAGAGCACGTAGACGAAAGGCACTACTTGATACGCGGGAATGTGCAGGAAAGAGTCGTGAAGATCGACTGCATCAACACGAAGCGTCGGCATATCGTGATGACGCAGCTCAAGCTTTTTGTAACACTATATTAGGTTCGCATTTGTTCGTACACAAGTGGTTAAGCTCACTATCATTTAGTAAATTGATCGATTGAAAAGTTGAATTAGCGATTTTCAGGCGTCCTTAATAGATAGAAGAGTATTTTGACATAGTTTCGTTTGAAGTTTTCCACTTATGCTCTAGCAGAGAAAGGAATATAGAATGGAATATGTAAATCAATGTTTGAGACTGACTTCTAACTTTCAGTCGGAAAAGCACGAAATACAAAGTAATCTCATTGACTTTTTAACTGTCATTCCCTACGGTCCTGGCTCAAAAAGCTGGCGAGGGATTGAAACAGATCAATGGTATGAACTACAGCAAATAATTAATCCTTGACAAAGACGACAACAAAGTCCGAGACCACGTGAAAAAGGTTCAGATTGACATCGTCGCCAGTATCAGATCATTGATACTCAATTAGCTGCTAGACTGTGTCAAGTTCTGGTTATTGCTGAGGGTCTTACGTAAGCCAAATTGGACCAACCGCATCAATCTCCTCTCCTTTACGTCCATAGATTCCGCCAAAGGGGGAGCATTGCAATTCGCCTTGTTGCTCTCATTCGATGTCTCTCAACCTCCCTTGAAGGTAGCCACCATGTTGTTTATGAATCTGATGAAGCAAAGCTTTGTTTTATCGTCTGCTTTTACAGTATGCGCCTCCCAGTGTGTAATGTATTCGTCAAAATCCAATTCATGGGAATGACAATTACTTTTCCTACAATAAAAACAGATCTTGGCTCTTGCTATTCGGAGGCAACAATTGGTGCCGAGGTCATCCACGCGAGGACCATGACATATCGTGATCGTCGTCACTTTTTGCCCATGTTATAACTTGATGGCATCGTTGAACTTCTTCCCATGAGGTCCACCTATTACTGGACACGTCGGGAAGTCATCAGGAATCTGATAAACACCTTCAACAAGAGCTAGCGCAGAAAGGAAGGGGGGAAAGAGCTTCATGGAGGTAGTGCCGCTGTCGGGGAAGAGAAATATTTGAAATGATTTCTTCTGGCAAGTGCTGAATGCTGACATGGACATTCGTCGGAGTGTGGTTTTATGTTTAGAGTAGGTTCTTCAAAAGCAGCATTGTAAGATCGGTTCTCAAAGTCATGTGGTTGACTATGACACTGTAAGTAACGACTTCGTAAGCCTTATATACGGAAGTCTCAGGCCCTAAAATCGACTGAAGATTGATCGTTCTTGCAGTCTGTACCGCATCAGTTTTACAAAACATGTGTCATTTCAAGTAAAGTCTTGATGCTTATTGCCTTTACTATTTCGCATATGATCTTCTTTTGTCATTAGCGACATTACAGTATACCCTGCGCATCCACATGATACATGCCTTGCTAGATCGACTCTTCCTGTGACCTCGGCGACTTGAAGCATAATTTTTCATATCGGCGATGACGCCGAAATGGCAAGACTAGACTAAAGGTAGATTAAATGCTAAATTCTCACACTAGGCAAAAGAAACACGAAAAAACAAGTCACACAGAGGGAATTGGTAAAAGTGTGCTGCTGAATGCATCGTTCACCGGACGAGTGTTGATGAGAACATTGGCACTACGTAACGGTATTTGATCAATTCCTATCTCGGTAATGTACAAGGCTACATGTCGTTTGCCTTAAAATACAATAGATTCTGTTTGTAAGAGGTTGTATAGCTGTACAACGTGTGTGTAAAGTATCGGTATTCGAAGTCATCGCGGGTTTGAAAAAACTAGGATTACGCAGGTAGAGTCATCTAGTGCGTCATGTATGATGGGGATACATATGTTATTCTGCGATGTCGCTGCTGACAAAGAAGATCATATGCGAAATAGTAAAAGCGATATGCATCAATACT